TAGCATCGATCTTGTGCTTATCTGCTTTGCTGGTCTGTTACACATGGCAACACGGACGAGCTGAGACAGCTCGCATGGCAATTTCAATGGTTCGAGGTTAATGTGGATGGATGGAGCTGAACATCTTTAGAACAGGGCGGCTAAGAACCTGTTTTTTCTAGAAACAGGTGTAATGCTGTGCTCCTCTATTGTGCCTGGGGATTATAATATTGGCGTTCTGGTGTGGCTTCTTGAATTATCGCGACTGTTTCGCTTCAAGATGTGAGCTTTTGCAGTCGCTGTTAGCACGCTGGAGAAGCTTCTCACCGTTTTGAACGGAACGGTTGGTTGATTCAGCTTGTGGCTGATGACCTTCCCAGGCTGGATGTACTGTCGCGTGCTGCGCTGGTGTTGAAACTCTGGTACACCGTGCGGAGTGAGTAGCTCACTAATTGAATATTGGCCTGTGCTCACTCGTCGATAAAGACCCTTGAGGCATGTCAAATGTGATAAGCGCAAAAGATAACGGACCAAAAGCCCCAGAAAAGCGCCGTCCTCCGAGCTTTATCACCTATCCGAGTTTCGCCTGCTAACAGCTTTTAGTGAACGAAACGCCTGGAGATTGATGATCTTCAATTGAGCTATCCTGGGCCGAGAGTTGTTCCGATAGAGGTGGGCCGGAGGTCTGCGATCTGTATTGACGCCGTTCACCGAAACTCAATTGAATCGCTATCAATGCTAATCGCGACTCTCATGGTGATGGTGTCAATCACAAAGCAAGTGCATCAATAGATCGCCGTAAATGCACAAGCTCCCAAAATCATCACAGCTGAATTGCAATAACTATCCATGTCGTCCAGGGTGTCTCAGGTCTCTGCACTTCGGACTTATTCTGGTGTTCTCGTCCCTCTATTCTTATAACGTTACTTTGCCCAGTTTCGCCCTTGCTTCGTGCAACAGCAGTCGAGCTGAAAAATGAGCGATGCTACGTATTCATGAGACAGACAACAAAGAGATATTGACCCAAATAACGCCGTCTTTTTTAAAGTTACTCAGACCTAATAAAAGACCCAGCACAAAACGTGCATCTTTGGCTCAACAGCACAGCATGAACTCTGGCCTCAAAGTACTGAACCTCATGGCTCAGTTTCAGTGACTGCCGGTCCCCGGCACTTCAACAACCTCTTCCCGCCATTTCCCCAGGTCAGGATGGATTTGTGGTCTGCAGGTTGCCGTTCCCCGCTTTCCATTCCTCTCGTTCTTATTCCAATTTGGTCAACCTTGTTCTACTCCAGATGACTACTCTCGATCTCCCGAGCATCATGCAGGTTTTTTTTAAAACATCACTCTGTTGATCTCATATTTGTGTATGACGACGATTTTGACCGACGACTCTCACCGCCATCACTTGCGAGCGGAATTTGTAAGTCCCGAGGCCGTCGTCTGAAGGGCCGATGGCTGGTTGCCACTGCGTTAGACAAGGCGCCTAACGATACGACGCCGACGAGAACCAGGTAACACGGTTATACACGCAGTCAGCTTGCTTTTTGCCTGCAACAAACCCCAGCATATTGCCGTGCAGCATGGATGAACCCTGGTCCCCCTGCGTCAAGGTGAAAGTTTAACTAAATGCGATCAGCTGGATTGGCATTGTCGATGAGATCCCGTGATAAACTCCCGATACAACACATGCAACCCCAGTCCATCAAAGGGCGATCATTTTAATCTTGACGAGCGGGAGCTATCTGGTCTGGAATCCGAACTGAATGTCCTAATCTCGCAGTGTGTCTGCTTATCTGTGATGGGATCTCTCAATGTCTCTCAATATCACTACGACTAAACATGTGTCTGTGACTGTCATCATCGTGTGGAAACGTCATATGATACACGATCTCCTATGGCCACTATTGTACTTGATGACATATGGAGCAGCATCGATGCTCCTGTCTGGTTCAATAGATGTATCACGGACTCGGAGGCCGAAGAAAAGCTCAGAATCGTCATGATGGGCATGAAAGGCGGTGGCCAACAATTGCTACGACTCCCGTTGAAGGATGAAGCACACGTTTCAGTCTAACATTCGTCCAAGGGCCGCGCAAGGCGGGTTGATTGCCGGTGAGAGACCGGCCATCCTCCGTATGAAGCTGGGGGCATGAGAGGCAGCGCCCCGATGGCCTCATGAGACATTAACAATTCTCTCTCAGAAGAGGTGTTTGAATGATATTCTGTGCCTATTAGATGCGTCGATTGTAGGAATCGACCAGAAATCACTCGCAATCTTTCCAATCATTTGTCTGCCATTTTCCGTTGGTTAACGAGAGACTAGACCCTTGGAGTAGTGACGTCAATCAGCTGAGCAGTTGGATCCTATGACGTCGAACATGCAGGGTCTTTAATGGAACCCACGCCAAGTTCCCCACGAAAGCTTGTCGAGCTCAGAGCTGGGTGGCTGGTGTTCTTCTCCGGGTAATGCACCTCGACGCCATAATTGTGACCTTGGTTTTATGCATTCCATCAGCGAATTGTAGCGCTATGTGTTAATTATATGTGCGAAAATTAATGCATCCTCTTCAATGACGGAAGAGAAGATCTAGTTAGCGTCCCCTCCCTCCTCTCAGGGACTCAGCCCTTTGATCCTCGCGCCAAGGTCACCCACTCACTCACTGACAGTCTCACTTCCGGTTCAGATTCAAGCCGCGCCATGACCCAAGTTGTGACCTGCTTTATTTAATGATCCCTGGATACGGACTTCTCCTTTAATCCCTCCTCTTACCGCTTGTCACCTGTTTCATTACGTGTTTTATGCAGGCACCTCTTTACATAAAGAAGGATTTATCCCCAACATTCCACCCCTCCACTATCGATATGTACATCTAAGCAACTCACAAGTTCCTGACTGCTACCTAACGTTAAATAAACCTTTGTTCTCTTACAACAACGTCAACCACAACCTACCAGCTCTTTCACCTCTCAGACACACGAACAAACCATCGGATAGAGCCTCCATCTTCCGCTCTCACAGATCTCAACACCTGTACCACTGCTACACATATGGCCTACTACCGCCCGTCCAGACAACAAGCGCGCCCATACGGATATGACGATGGCTACGTAGCGCCAGATCCCGGGAGGTCATATGACCCTCACGATGACCGTAATGCCCTTCCTCCCCGTAAAGTCAGAAGAGAGCCGGCGACAGATGCGTCACCTCCCCGCCGTTACAAGTCACAAAGGAGTCGCCGCCCCCCGAGTCCTAGCAGGCCAGTGTACCCTGATGTTCCTATGATGGATGATCGGAGAGCCGAAGGCCGTCCACGCCGCAGATATGAGCCAGAGCGTCGCGGGCGGAGTGCCGGGCCTGATCGACGAAGCCGAGACATCAGTCCCCCACCCTTCGGACCTCCGCCAGATTCACCTCGCCGAAAGGCTCGCTCAGCTCGTCCCGATCGCGATTCTCACCACCCGGAGCGAGAATTTCGCCAATCTTCACGCGAGCCTCGCTCAGGGCGGGATCGGGATCGGGATCGAGAGTTACCCATCCGTGGAAAGCGGGACGCACGCCCTGACGGAGACCCTCGATTCGAGCGCGATGCTCCAGCAGTGCATCCCTACGATCGTGATGCTTATGCCCGAGAACCAACTTCACGCGCATACCCTGATGATCCCCGAGACCAGCGAAGGTCCAAACATCGCGACGCTGACCCAAAATCGCCTCGGCGCCATGGAAGATCAGTGCCACCTCCACCTCGCTCTAGGTCGCAAGGACGGGGTCGAAAGTCACGATATCGAGAGTCCGACTCTGACTCAGAAGATGATCATTACGGTGCCAAACTTGGAGCTGCCGGAGCTGGAGTGGGTGCTGCTGCTGCTGCCAGTCGACGACGCCCACGGTCCCAAACAAGAGACCGTCGAGGGCGAGATCCTGCTCGATCCCCACATCGAGGTCGGCCTCCAACCACACAGAAGAATCGTGGCAGCGCTCCTACCGGACGTCGCAGCTCCATGCCCGCTAGCACCAAGCCACGCAATGCATGGTGGCAGAATCCTATGGTCCAGGCTGGTGCCCGTACTGCTTTCACAGCTGGCGCTCAAGCTGCGATGAAGTCTGGTCGTGAATCTGGTCCCTGGCTCGGCCCCAAAGGCGCCAAAGTTGCAACTGCTGCTCTTGGTGCGGCCTTGGTGGACGGCTTCATGGGCCAGAAGCATCCCAACAGTACCAGACAGAAACTGATGAGGGAGGGTATTGACCTTGCCTCAGCTCAAACCACAAGGGTTCCTGAGCACCATGGCAGTGGTCGGAGACGATAACGACTGGCGGCATTGCCTTTCTCTTTTCATTGTATTTGACACTTATCTTAAAAGGATTACAAATTACTTCAAAAACCATGCTCAAGCATTGCGGAGGTTACACATTCCAGAGAGCTTGTTGACAACCACTGGATCGGCACATTGCTATGGAGTTGATGATAAAATGATTATGATAACTGTACGATATTCATGAGATACCTTTCTGGATTTAAAGAATTGAGATTTACTTTATGCTTTAATCGTGTCCACATCTTATTTCTGACGCTTGATGTAACACGAAGATATCAGTGACAGCACAACTATGTTGCACAATCATTCTCAGTCTGGTCAATTTGAACTTAATATGCTTTAAGGATAGCCCATAACCGGCATACTAACTCAAAATCTTCAACAGAAGAATGGCCGAAACGACACTCGTTTACTCATCAGATAACAACCGTTTTCTCCCAAGAACTCTCGCTATATGCCTCTCCAGTAGGCTAGTAATCTAGGACAGAGTCAAGTTCCACGGTCGACAACGATTGGCCATGCACATACCGTTGCAGCAAGGTCCTACAGGCTGCCCGCATGTATCATAGCACTCGCCTACCATTGATCTTCGTCAGATATGCCGGATCACGGGAGTTAGATCTGATATGCTTACCGTACGTAAGAACACAACTGCCGGTGCAATTGACAGCAGTGATCACTCGAGAGGGGTTGACGAGAATGTGCTAGAAGCCATCTTTGGTACTGAGTTTAGGGGTCAACTTCGCTTGGCCCTCGATGACGAAGAAGCATTGTTCAAGCGCATTGTAGTCTGAGTTGTCGATGATATCGACACTGAGATCATGATCTGAAGAAGAGCATATAGGGTAAGTAGTTGAAAAGGATATGCTAAAAGCAACGCCTACCAGTCTTGCGAGTACTGCCATCAGCACGGAAAGCCATAGAGTAAGAATCAAGACCGCCATGGAAGGTAAGGTGAACAAGCTGAGGATCCGATTGTCGAAGAACACCTTGAAGAGCAAGAACACCATAGGAGAGGGGGAAGAGGAGAGTCGAAACAGACTTCATAGCGTCGTTTATCTGTAGAAGAGGATTGTTTTAAGCATATATGTTCTTAAGAATACGAATTTCTCCTATAGATCTCTGAACGACACAGGGAACAAAGAACAGAATGATGGCAGAGACAGTTCTCCCAGCACATATATTTTATTGCTCTTTCACACATACATGATTATATAACCCGTGACTTTGTAGTCCAGTAACAGTCAACATTTGCGCGAATGTAGAACATACTGAGTAATAGCCGTTAAATAATGACAGAGACTTATAACATGCTAACAAAAGAGGAACAGAGACTCCAATCTAAGCAGTAAACAATCATAAATTAAAGAGGCATCTTACAGAGAAGGCGGCAGTATAAATTCGGGCTGAATCCTTCTTAGACTTATTTCCCATACACAATATCATCAGCACTAACTCATTCAAACGAAACAGGGATAATCTGCAATTATAGGTTACTGGCTAGGAGACGAAGTCTTTATGACATTGGAAAGTATTAGAAAGATTTAGCAGACTCTAGATTATCTCCAGAACCGCTATCCTAATCTCGGTAACCCTGGGCCTCAGCCTGGTGGCCTGCTATACCTAACCCAGGGGGTGGTTGAACAGCTTCTTTTCGACCTTCAAGTTGCTATAATGCAGTTATATGTCTTATTTAGATTCTAGCTATTTAGTAAATATAATAAGTATATAGTATTGCCTCTATTTATATTAATAAGAAGGTTAAAAAAGAAGGTATATAAGCTATAAATAGATATTTAAAATTTAAATCTTTTAAACTATTTATAATATATTAATAGAAATTTCTATTTAAATTTATATAACTAAAGGCTTTAATAAATTAAAAAGAAAAGTTAAATATAATATATATATATAATTATTTTAAGTATTATTTATTTATATTTTTCTTTAATTTAGTATTATAGTAAATTAATAATAGCTAAATAGATATAATAATATTATATTAATTAAAGCTTAAAGAAATAGAATTTCTATCTAAAGGGTTTTTATAATAGACTTAAGGAGATCTTAA